CGCTCTTTATAGACTTTGACTTATTTATCAAGTTGTTTTCACTTTCTCCCTCCCGTCTGCAGCTGTTGTTCCTTGCTTAGTTATTTCATCTCTGCCCCCCCTCCCTATGGGGCGTTGTTCCTTTCTTGTGTGTGGCTAGTGTGCTGTTTGGGGATCAAGGGTCATGAACAATTCTTAAACAGTGTTTTAGAACACTTCATTCATTGGGTATTCGAATCTGGGTATGATACCAACTGCTATTTGATAGTATGACAGACCCGGTTCGACAATTTTCTAATAACCTATGAAGTATCATAGACTATTCTTGTCGACGTTGCTGCTCTTTGCTCCAACCTCGACGTCACCATCAACTATGGATGGTGTCATTGGCCTTTGCTGGGAGTATAGCCTACATTCTGAGGCCGAGGTCAAGGATGTGTAGATCTACATACACACCGGTACTTGTCACTTGTGCTGTGCTGTGCTGTGCTGTTGGGACTGATGATGAAATCAAAATAAATTTACATGTAGTCCTACATGTATAATATCAACGTCTCTTCTTATCGCGGCGAGCACACAGCTTCACGTCAGGTCAAGTGAAGTGACTGGCTCGGCTATCAGGCGGATTGCTGTAATAAAAAACACCGCCCTCTGTCCAAACAATAATACACGTATTTCATGCAGACAATAATAAAGGGGAAAAATCGGTAGGTCAAAACACTTTGGTCCATATTGTCAGCAGAACAGAGCTGCAGTTTGTGATAGTAAGGGTTATCCTAGTAGCGCAGAGTGCAGAGAGGACCCCCCCCCAAAAAAAAAGGCGCAGGGGGGGGCTGCCAGCACAAGCAGTCAGGTAGTGCGTGTACATGTTGGTGGGGTCAATAGACGTAGTCCAAGGTACACACAACATGCGCAGACGTGTTTTGTCTTGGTGCTTGTTGTCAGGAAAGCGGGGGCATAGTGCTGAGGGAAAGAGTGTGTTGGCCCTCTTTGAGGAAGCGGTTTTTTAAAACTTTATTTATTTTTTAAAATTTTTTTGGGGGGGGGGTTGGAAATGCGTTGTGTCAAGTGTGAATATACCTGGCAACCGAATTTATCAAGGACATTTTATAAGGCCTTTTTAGGGGCGCAGATGGGGGGTGGGGGGTTGAGGATCGTGAAACCAATGTATGGACGCTTAAAAGACAAGGAATTCCTATGTTGGACACGCACGTGTGCGTGCACACCGACAGCGCGCACATAAACACACACAAAAATGATTACACGATACTATTTTTCTCACCCATGCACGCCCTTTAATAGACGCACACCCCCTCCCCATGATCTGTTCTGTCTGTCTCTCTCCCCATCCGCCCC